GGGCACAGACTCAGATGTCGAATGTAATATGTTGACCAAGAACTCATGCTAGCTGCATCTCTGCAGAGATGAGAATAAGCGAATTCCCATTGTCTATCCTAAATCATGCAAAGACTCACAGGGCGGCTGCACCCTTGTGTGGACAGTCCCCCTACGAATTGACCTGCGTCGAGCCGGGGTTTGATTCGCATTGGCGGTACTGCTAACAGGCACCAATAAAGATGGTGATGTCAGTTCAAGTTCAACTATGGCATTTACACACCTTACTGTGTGTGTGTGTGTGTCATCTTTCTTGGTCATTTGCATATCTTTCCTGAAAGAAGACACAGACACCCAAGAAGAAGCCTTGAGGTCAGCATGCCCAGAGGCTTGCTTAAATGAAAAAGTATTCCCAAATCGACCTTTGATCCATTCCGACGCGAACCAACCAACGCAGCAACCCAAACAAACAAACAAACAAACAAACAAACAAGCAACTAAAGCATGGAAAAGACTATGACAAGCACCGACACCTCAACCTGCCGCACAATTCCGCGCCTTGAGGCCGTCCTCGGCACTGCGTGAGTCCGGCTTTAGGTACTTCCACAGGATGTCCGCCTGAAGCATGTCGGCCGGCGTTGGTTGAAATCGCTGCTCAAACAAAGTCCTTCAGGCTTCCCTTACTGAAGGGGACCATGCTAGGGTTGTTGAGACAAATGGTGCCTAGCATGATTTCAAACTGAATGCCCTCATCAATTGGTTTTAACTACCCCGGACTTGAGGGCGGTGCATAAAGGGCACCTGGACTGAGTCAAGCTAAAGCGCCGGCTGAGCTGTGTTCGCAGGCACCAAACAATACGATGTGTTGCCCTATCCCGAAGAAGTGGGGCAGCTTCGTGCAGTGAATGGAGACGAAGCAACACAAATTCGCACAAATGTGTCGTGCAGTCATGAACTACAAATCAAACACGCACACACACACACAGGCGCACACACACACACACCCACACGCACACGCACACCCACACCCACACCCACACACACACACACGCACACACGCACACACGCACACACGCACACACGCACACACGCACACACACACACACACCCACACACACACACACACACACACGCACACCACGCACACACGCACACACGCACACACGCACACACACGCACACACGCACACACGCACACACGCACACACGCACACACGCACACACGCACACACGCACACACGCACACATGCACACGCACACACGCACACACGCACGCACGCACGCGCACACGCACACACGCACACACGCAAACACGCACACATGCACACGCACACACGCACGCACGCACGCACGCGCAGACGCACACGCACACGCACACGCACACGCACCGCACGCGCACACGCACACGCACACGCACGCGCACGCGCACGCACGCGCACCCGCACACGCACACGCACACGCACATGCACACGCGCACACACCCATGCCACAATGATTCGGTCCTGTGGGATAGATGGAACCGTTCAAGCACTTTATGGACTAAGACCTTAAGCACAAAAAACAACCCGCGCCGCTCCTTCAAGATAAAGCAAGCGTTCCATATTCGCAGATCTGCGCCACATGGGGCAATTAGAAGACCTCTTTCCAAAAGTCACCCACTCAAAGGAACCAAGCCAGACTACATCTCATAGCTGATGGTCGAACATGGCTCTACTGTGGATGGGTCCTCGAAATCCTGCGCCAGATTTGAAACCGTGGGGGAAGCCATTGCTTGCTGGTATTTACAGGGGAATCATCATTCCAGGGTTTCTTAGGTGGTGCAAAATGGATTTCGTCCATCCACAGTATGTGTCAGTTTTCAGCATCCAGGGAGCTCCGCTTCGAACCCTCTGTAGCCCCAAGCACGCAGCCGTCTCAAAACCCACTCAGCGAAGAGGCGGCCACTTGTCTTGCTCTAGGGATCCATCGGAAAACAGGCATCTTTCAATGAAAATACAAATAACCCATATTCCGTTCAACTCAGACATGTTCACACGACTTCAGAAACTCCCCATTTGCACAACAGTCTCAATTTTGGGGCGCAAGCGGTTTCCGTTTGCCTTCCAAGAACCACCAAAAAGCCACACACACACACACGCACAGATTTGGGACTCCCTTGTTGTGTTTTCAAGGTCCATTTTCAAGAAGCGAGAATGGCTATCAAAGCGCGTCATGCGCCCAAAGCATAGTTCTCAACCTAGCTGATTGATCAATGGCTTTGGTGTCCAAATGCCACCTCCAGTTGCTCATGTGTGTGTTTTTCGTCCGATTGATCAACGAAAGTGAAGGACTCCCGTAAAAAGGGCCTGAAAAATCAAGCATGGGTTTACTATGGGTTTAATGGATTCCCATAAGTTCGTCTCCAAAAAAGGTCTCGTATCTACGCCCCGCCCTGCTTCCAAAAACCCGCCCTTCCCGCAAAAACTGCCAATCGAAAAGAAGGACGCTGGAACATTGACTGGTGTTTCCCTTGAAACGACTGCCACTTCTGGAGGTTCCAAAAAGGGAAATGGCTCGAAAACCCTGACCGGTTGCCTGAAGAATTTGAGAACCGAATCGCTCCGCACAGGCCAAACAACTGGGCGCCACGCAAAAGCGATCAGCGATCCTGGGCAGGGCGCCACGGAAACTGCCCTGAACTGAAGCGCTTCAATGCTCTTGATTCTGCCCATCACCCTTGAGTTCGTCGCGTAGTTTGAGGGAGTTAAACTTGATGAACACACCACGTTCGCAGAAATCGCTCTGACGCAAGAGGGAATGGGAGCAACTGACCATTGTATGTGCCTATTGGTTGGAAACGCACAGCTCAACATGCATCATCAGCCAGAACACGACCTTCCTTAGTCAGGGACCTGCAGAAAGTTAAGCATGCTTGAATGTCAAATCAACGTGGTGTCAGCATCGATAATGTTTTGCTGGGAATGAATGGATACCCTCCGTTCCATTAACATGGCATCTGACTGAAGACAATGTCCCTTAAAAAGGACCCTCTGGTGGGTTCCATGCTGATAGAAGGGTATCAATCATGATTTGCAATTTGCAAGAAGCTTGTGGCTGATCCTGGTTCCTTGCTGGGGCGTAGCTCAGTGAGCTAGATGGCGTACAAAACATGGGATCCGATTGCTGGCATGCATTCCCCAAAATCCAAAGACATGCACTTCCCAGAACAACATGTTACCTTACTGTGGCAGCCGTAGATTCGACAACTTGAATGTTCGTCCAATTTGCCAAAGCTGCATGAGTCGGTTGGGCTACATGCAAGCAATCTGTGCTACTCGGCAAACAAAGCACCTCCTTGGCCTAGTGTGTTTTCCTTGAAACAACCAACCAGCCAAGACATGGCTTCTTGAAATACTGTGCTTCAGACCTGGCACAGACATACATGTTCCAACTGGCGGTCATGCGTCCTCTCTAGTGTAATACTAATGTCACCAACGGTCTTAGCGTAGAGAGAGCTTCCCAGATGTGTGTTGCTTGGCATTGATGCAACCACGGCAACGACAACGAATCGACCCCCAAAGCCGGGGCAGGAAACTGGACAGAGCTAAAGCTGGATACCTCCTGAGGGTTCTCTTCCTCCCCCCTCAAATGGACCATAGGATGCTGGGAATTTGGTCGAGCAGTTTCCAACGCTGGAAGTTGCCCCTTCCCTGAACGATGAGGAATTTTCCCATCGAAAACGATATGCTGACTCTTAAGACTCTTGGCAGAGAAAATGACTCCCCTACACACACCACCCATCTCCTTGAGGAAGGCTAAGAAAACACACAATTGGAGGTGTGTGTGTGTGTGTCTGTGTGTTTGTTGGTGGGGTCTTGTGCTTGGGGTAGGAGCAGTTGCATGAGAACATAAATCTTATCTTTCGACGCTTTGGGGGTCAAAAGCCTCATCGCCTTGGGTCGGGAATGGACCAACAAATGACCGAACAAGCTGAATCTGCGCCAAAGCGTCGCTCGGCGGACTCGGGCTGCTGGAACGTCTGCTCCATGCCTTTGGGCAACACCCGCGGTGACTTGGAGGTTCCGTCAGCGTACCACTGAATGTGCGAAGCAGTATGGATATAAACACAACGCCTGCCTATGCCGGCGTAAGTATGTGGGCCAGAAAAGGTATAGATGTTATTGAGCAAATATTATCATGCTCTTTCAAAGAATTCCTTCGTCAACCTCAACAAGGGAAGTCAACAATCACCAAAGGGGAAACGGAAGGAAAGGCGTGCCAGGGGTTGACAAACCCCTGTCCGGCGACCGGACAAATGCCTGGTTAAAAAAAACAAATCAGCATTGCCTTGCCGCTGGTTTCCAAGCACAAACTAGGCCACATGATATTGCCAGGATCCGCAGCAAAGGCTTCAGTGTAAACACACACTGATCAAGAAACTGATGGCAAACTGGTAAGCCGAAGCGCCAGCTCTTCCGGCAACGTTGCAGACCGAGCGATACTTGTTTTGAGTATCCATGGAAGGCTTGGACCAAGCCCTAGTTGAAACATGTTCAAACCACCTCTTTTTAAATGACATTTGAAAGGGGCTTGGAGCAGTTCTCCGTCAGAAACCCCGAAAGACAGCGGAGTCTGCCAGGTCCTGAATCTGAATTTGTTAGCCAACATGAGGCATATCCTTCAAAATGTGTGATTTGTCCAATCGTGGGCTATACTCAAATTGCGAGAGGGGGTTCCGATGACACTTTGACAATAGAAAAAAAAATCCCTGACAGAACATGCATGCTCAGCACTGGGAGTATCTATTGCAGCTTCTGCTTGACCAGGCAAGCGCATGTGTCGAACACATGCCAATGAAACGCATCATATCTCGAAGCACAATGTCCGATATTCCACCCAATTCCATACAAATTTGGCATTGAGACTGAACTTCTGGTCATCCATGGAGCACTTGTTGAGCACGCCACTCAAATCCATCATACGGTCTGTTGCTCTGCGTTGAACAGCTTCTATGCTTGAGCTCTTCCAAAAATTCAGCAGTGATTAGGCCACTTGGGCGAAAAGCACCTTCACTAAAGCCAGCTGCAGTGGATGTCAACATAAGATTGGCCAAACACCCACCACAACACTAGGAAAACCAAACAAACACCCACCAAACAAAAGGACAACCAAACCAAAACCCACCAAACACAATGAAAACGTGTCATGTAGCTGCTTCCTTCCACCAACACAAGAAAACCAGACAAACACCCACCAAACAAAAGGAAAACCAAACCAAAACCCACCAAACACAATGAAAACGTGTCATGTAGCTGCTTCCTTCCACCAACACAAGAAAACCAGACAAACACCCACCAAACACTGTAACACCCGGGATTCATGAATTTCATGTAGCTGCTTCCTTCGACCCATGCACATCTCCGGAAACCCCACGGTGCGGATGCTGGGCCGGCGGCTCATGAGCGTCTTGTCGATGCTGCCTCAGCTTGTTTTATCCCAAGATCTCGCACAGAGAATCCAATTCGTATTCACAACAACTAAAGCATTAAATGTGAAAAACTGAATAAGGATATAACAGTAAAACATAACAATGAACAGAAACATGTTATGGTTGGATATGTATAAATTCCACGTTGCACGCTTTTGGTACGTTCAAACAATCTAAACACAAGTAACCGTTTAATGACGAAATAGTATTCTTGATTGAAACAAAATCATGATGCGTCAAACCAGGTATCGGTTGCTCTGCCTTTTTGGGTTGGATTGGGTACGCCTTGCAAATGGATGCTAAGGCTTCACAGCACATCCCAGGCGTGTGCTATCCTTGGAATCACATGCCCTGTTCATACACGTCTGCATGCATAACATACGTTTGTTTCCGGACAACAAGCCAGAATCCAATGAAACGTATGAGTAAGCCTGATGCATGTGGCTGAGGTGTAGGAGGTTGTAGTGTTTCTGGACCTCCAACTCATTTGTCTGGACTTGGCAGCTGATTCAACACCAACAGTGCGGAAGCTACTTGTCAACACAATTACCGCAAGCCCCATGAGTCTTCGGTCTGCCTCGTCCATGCCTTTTTCACCTTTGCAGGGGCCCAGTTTGATAAACCAACCCAAGACTCTTGCGGGGGTCATGGGAGTCCCAAGTGTACGCCTATGACTTCCCTGTCTCAAATGGAGAAAGCAAACAAACATGGTCGGCTCCCGTCTGTTTTCCTTCCCAAACAACCCCTTGTTCGGGGGTGCCTCATAAAAAAGAAAACAAGAAAATAAGAAGAAACAGAGTCACCTCCAGATCCAAACAAAAACGAGGGCCGTTTGCCAGGCCAAGTCGCTCTTGGAGAAGAGCCCAATGTTCTTCGGCAACGTCAGCAGCTCCAGGATCGCCTGGCGATGCCATGGCCTCTGCCAAAGGAGGGGGTAGGGTGAAGGTCCCTGTTCCTACCTTCAGGTAAGGCTGAGGTCCTTCGCAATTTTGCAGTATTGTCACTTTTTTAGGGTTCCGCACAGAAAGTAATAGGGAGCAGTCAAATTCCAGGCGTCTCCCCTGTTCCACGCGCACTAATAGACTATTTTCCTAATAGCCTAAAGAAGGTGGTGGCAACAAAAACAACAACACCAAAAAACACAACCCTAGGTCTCCAAAACAACAACCCCACTCATCAGTGCCCATCATATGCCCCCCCCCATCCAAGACCATGCGCTTCCGACCCTTGGACCACGCCTCGCAAATGGCCTGCGCCGTGTAGGAGTCCAGGGAATCCATGAGCTCCTACGCGGTGCGAGTTGGGTATGTGTCTTGGAGTGCCCCCCGTCGGTTCCCCGATGGCGGCTTTTCAACGGTAAAACTCATGAGCTCTGCTTCGTTTGCTAATTGTTTTTACCGTTACTACTATTCTTACTACTACTACTACTACTACTACTACTACTACTACTGCTACTATTTCTCCACTACGATCACTGCTACTATTACTACTACCACTACTACCACTTTGGAGGTAGCTCCCATAGACGGCTTCAGAAAGGATCGCTTCCAGGACTTCAACACCATAGAAAATGGATGCAGGAAGGCACACTCCAACGCTGTTTACACCAAGGTTCCAATTTGTTGACTACACAAAGATAGACCTCCTGGGGGAAAATCAACCATTTGGGTTAAGTCTACCTTGGGGTCGGCAACAAATGGACTCCTGGTTTACACTGCCCCGTCAACATCTACGTGCATATGTCCATATCAGAGGAGCATCCAATGGAGCCTTTGACCATGGGGACAAAGGATCTCGCCGGCAAGCAAATTTGTTTGCCGGAGGAGCCATATTTGTCACATTCTGATTCTACATGATAGCTCCCCTGGTTATGTGCAGCAAACATAAGCCCAAAATTATCACCCCCAACCAATAGAGGCATCCTGGAGGGTGTGCAAATGGGCCCCGAAGCAAGGGGGCAATTGGCAAGTATTGGAGAACATAGCCACCGGCATGTCAAGCGGAATACGGACAACACGTATTGTATCATATGCGCGACTGCACATACACAAATCAACACATCCAACAATGGCCCCCGAACAATCGCGCCAAAACCAAGCCAGAAAACTAGATGTACAGCTGAATCCGCTCATATCATTACTTTTAGATCTTGAATCCCCAAACCACGGTTTCCAAACAATGATCTGCAAGCAGGGTTGGGGGTGCCCAGCAGCTAGCAACAAACATCACACAACCACATATCCACATATGCCAAGGTCAGGTTGACTATTCAGTGAAAGAACTCCACATTTGGCTTGGTTTTTGTCACCACCCGGCTTGTCTTATAGGAGAAAGCGCGAACTGGGCGACAAAGTCTCGCGGATTGTCCTTTAGAACAACAGCGAACCTCGAAATATGACGCTTGGATGTCTGGTGTTGGGGACTTGCGCTCGTTGGGTTGGTCGCAAAGGGAAACATAAGGAGAATCGAATCCTATTTAAGCTCTCCCGTGTCTAGGGACCCCGAAACAGTGGTTTTCTCGTTTCGTGTCGCTTGAAAACCACACAAAACAAACACACGCTATTCTGGCTGTCAAAATAGAGGCCCGCCCAGAATGGTGACATACCTATTAGCCAAGGTGCAAAGTGCATGCTCAAAACAAAATAGAACGCATGTCCATTTGGGAAGATGTTTCTTTGGGGTGCCCTTTTCAGGTTGGTTCTTCCTTCTTCCGCCCTCTCTGGGTGTCCTACCCATTTTGAGACATATCCATGTTGAAACACAGCCGTGCCGAGCGGCAATGAGGCGCTCTCGGGAGTCGGACATGCGAGAGAGGCTCGCCTCGAAGGGGCTCTGGACCGTTTGTCGGTCCACGGTATGGCTACCCTAAGGCCCTGAGGGAAATGGAGGGTTGGTGGGTGACCATTGGACGTAGAATGAAGTGCGATTATTTTTTCTTCAAGTCGTCCAGTTTTCACCTCAAGATAGAATGTCATGGCATCATAAGTGGAGTGCAGGACAGTTCTGGATGGCTTCTGATTTGCCCTTGCGCAAGTGGCTTGGTTTCTTGGACAAGTCCGCTTCAACATCGCCCAAAGGAAACTCACTTTGCAAGCGAAAGCAAGTTCAGTGGAGAACCGCTCTCATTTTATCGCGAGCTAAAGAGCAGCCAAGATGCGTGTGTCCCAAAAAGGCCAAGGGAAGACAACACAAAACCAACCAACAGGAGGAGTCCCCGATAATATTCAGAAGCACCCGAATGAGTCACTTGATACCTATGAGAAAAAGAAACAAATAAAAACAACATCTGCTAGGTGAAGTGTGCCGCACAAAAACATCAGCACAAACACAAACCAATATATACATATATACACGTATATAAATAGTATTCCACGGGTATATATATATATATATACATCTATATATATACACGTTACAAGAATACCATATCATCTATAAGCATACACAGTATGCATTATATCTATCGAACAAACCGGCGTGCCATGCAGATGTTGGCTGCGTAACCTATGCCACATTGAGCAAACCATATCATCATTCTGGAATGCATCGTAGCTCCATGTGTGTTTGTGACTCTGAATCCATAATCATTACTAAGTTTGCTTGTGTTGAGTATTCCCCCCATCATTTGGGCCTCAGACTCTACTGCTATTGGTTGGATCTTTAGACTTTAACTTTTTGGATTCCCCTCTCATTTCCTTTTAACCAGCAGCACGTTTCACTTTCTGGGGGATCTACCGCACCCCAAGTTGGCATCTGCGTGTGGCCTTGGTCATAGCCACCAGGCACAGGGCGAAGAACCGCTGGATGGGCCGCAACCTTGGTCCGAAGAGCCGAAGGGCCGGAGACCGACCCCAGCTCCGAGTCTCACTGGAGTGGTGTGGCCCCAGAAAACGAAAAACTTGTCGTTTACCACTAAATGGACCGTCTTTGGACGCGTGACTATGTTCGGCCAAATGGACAACGAATTGGGGTGTAACCCCCGAATAACAAGGTCAACCCCACTTCGCGGGACTTGGACGAGCAGGAAGGAATGCAATGGGCTTTCCTAGGCCTGGATTCAAAAAACAAAAACACCTATGGGTAATAGACGGTGCAAGAGGCTCCCGACGTCCGATGTCCTTTTGGAGGACGTAAGTTACACTGGGACTCATGTCCACCAATTTGTAAGGACCCGTCCATGTGCAACCCCTGATGTGAGTCAACCATTTTTCCATCGGCATTCCGAGACAAGGCCATGATTCTTCCCGGCAAGGGGGGAGGGACACCCAAATAAATGCGTCTTGTTTGAGGGTACCTTGGTGATTTTGTGGCTTTACGTAATTATTAAGGAATCCAAAAGGATCCCCACCATTTTGGGGGGTCCTGCGAAAAAAACTGACATACCCAAATCCACTTGGTCGGTACTTGGCATCTGCAAGCACCTTCCCCCAGCTTAACAACAAATGGGAAGCCCTTTTCCCTACCCACGCCTGTTGACACCAACGATGGCTAAAAAAGGACTTCGTTGCACTGCAGTGGAAGTGCTTCAAGAAAGAAACACCCACCAGTCCCTTTCAAGGATGTCTAGATCAGTAGCACACCGGGGTGTTGCCCCGAAAGGTTGGTGCTTGCCTGTCCCCCCTGTCAAGCCACCAAAGGAAAGTGTAGCCTCAAAACAATCACAACAACTCCTCGAACAAAAAACAAGCAGCAACGGAGCAAAACACACCAATTCCGCCCCCCCAGCTCCGCACAAGGATTTGCCCAAGGCAGTCCTAGTTGTTCGGTGACCCTGGCAGAAGGGAACAGTCAAGTGGAACCCACCAAACAAAAAGGACAAAAAAGGTGCCACTGAACAAACTGAATTTAGCATAGAACAAGGGAGCATTTTGGGGGGGACCACTCACAAGTGGGGAATCCCCCGGAAATCGGTGCGAACAAACCAGGCACCGGCAAAATGGGTCAAAAGCCCGTACCTCCCGTGAACATCCCAATCCAACCACTAAAATAGGTTCTAAAATGGGTGGGGAATTCACCTACCCCGAAATGGGATCCATTGGTTTTGACCCACAGCCAAATGGAACAGATCTGCCCCACTTGGCGCCCCCGGCCGCTCCGCTTGCCGCCCATAGGAACTCGAGGAGCGCAGCGCGGCCTGCGCTGCCGCCTGAGAGGGCGAGAAGTTCCGGTGGTTTGGTGGGACCAAACAGGAGAAACAAAGGCCGGAGGGTGGGCAAGTTAGGGAGGTAAACCATCACAATGGGAAGGCAAACCACTAATTGGTTTGGGGGAAGCTGATGCCAGAGGAACTTGTAATCTTTTCCTAAAAATGGGGTGAGTCTTTCTTTGGAACTACCATTTTGTGTTGTGGTTGTAAAGGAAAATCAAACGGAAATCCGGTTTGGGGGGGTGTCCCCCAAAACGGCGTGACACGGTCATATTATGACTTGTTGAGAAATGGGCAACCCAGTTGATAAAGCAAGCCCTGGTTGAACAGAATGAGGTAAACACCTTTCCAGGACTTCTAGGCAATCCAAGGGTTCCGAATCCGAATTGATGACACAAGGTCCCATTTGTGGTGGGAGCCCTGTTGATTTATCAACGCTGATTAGTGACTCGGGCAAGTGTCCCACAGGTATCCTCTTGGCGAAACCCTCCCTCCTATCCCCTCCTTCTGCCTTTTCAGGAAAACCAAGGTGGAGTGGTTTTCAATGCCAACACACAATCGGGTAAGTGTTACCTCGGATCATGAACCACCCGATATACTGAGACGTTTGGACCAATCCCCAATATTGAAAAAAGGTGACCGGGTTACCCGCCCAGGGTATGTGTACAAAGTGAGTCGAGCACCTTCTGCATCCTGATGGAACATAACAAGAAAAACCGACGTGTAACGATGTGAACAGGTCCCCAGCTTTCACGCATACCCATTGGCCTATCCAATCATCATATTTCAGAACGCGTCGGGCAAACACTCCAAGCATGAATCCTGCTTGCCCGGCTCAGCCGGGCAAATAGCGGATGTTCCAGAGCGGTCCTTTTGGCACTTGGGCACGCAAGTTGGGAATACCTTCACGCAACTGCACTCCCAGAGGGCTGTACGTCTTGTCCAATGAGGTACTGTGGATGGGTCCTCGAAATCCGTTCGCGCCACTTTGACTACTGGGAAACCATAAGGTTTGCTGGTATTTACAGGGGACACATCATTCCAGGGTTAGGTGGTGCAGGATTTCGTCCATCCACAGTGTGTCGCTGGGAGCCACATGGGGTCACTGGAAAAAGTCAACAATTACCCACCCCCTTTCAAGATCTCTCCTGTGGGGAAAGTTGACCATGGGCTCTTTGGCACGAAACAAAGAATTGCAAAGCCTCGAGAAACCACTGCGCCTCAGCACTGTCGTCCTTAGAGGCATCGATGTCCTGCGCGACGGATTCCGATTGTTCTCTCTGCTCAAAACCACTATACTTAATTATACCATGGGTGTGTTTTAAAGTAAGGGAACCCCAAAGAAGGGCTACCCTCAAAAAGGGACACACACGCACACACTTGCAAAGCCTGAAATAAGAATTGGATCCAAGGAAAGCGAATTGGATCGGAGGAAAGGCCCTGATGTGTGAGCCCATTCATAAAGAAGTCTTCCCAGAACAATGTTGAATGTTGAAAGATCTACAAATTACAACCACAGCTGCACGAATTGCTGGTTGGGGTTATTACCCGACCTCCACTTTCCCGGGTCTTGGTTTTGTCCCAATTAGTGCTCTGAACACAGCCAGTTCGGAGTCTTTTTCGGGGGGTGAGCCTTGCAAGGCACCAGGAACCCACCCATTTTGGGGTTCCCCAATTATGGGACAAAACCATTGGAAACCGCAACCGCTTGCCACTGCAGAAGTTCTTACTCTCGGCCTATTGATCTTGATGTGTGGCGTCAGCGTTTGCTGACTCTGGAACACGGCAAAGCTTGGGAGCATGTGTGGCTAGGAGCAAGTTAGGAACCGTGGACTTGCACATGACGCGTCCATGGTTGCACGTGACGTCAGCGATCGGCAACAAACGCTTGGTTGGCGGGCTGAATAATGTTTACAATAATCTCCTTGGGGTGCTAAGCGAAGTGGGTGGTTAACCCTGGAAATGATGAGAGGCAACGCTAAAAGGCTGTAAACAACCGGTGAATAACCGCAGCAATGATGGAGAGCAACGCAAAAAGGCTGTAGACAACCGGTGGGTAGCCCCGGTAATATTGGAAAGGAAAGCAAAAAGGCTATGGACAACTGCTCTTGCTTCACTTGCTTAAAGAACCTGTAAATAAAAGGCTAACCTTTTGGCACCTCTACAAAAAATAAACAAAGGGACAATCAAAAGGTCAAAAGGTTGGCTTTGAACAACTGCTCTTGCAGAATTGAGCACTGCTGACATGAGGACACGTGCGCTTTCGCAAGTCCTGGCCGCCGTTGACCACTGAGCCTCAAGCAGCAAGCCACATGTCTGAGCTTGAGCTTCTGCATCTCGCTGGAAATGGGTGTGGGTCAAAAATAGGTACACAAAATGGAACCCTGGTAAATGGAAACAACGACTCAAACCTGCGGTCCCCTGGTGGCTAAATTTTGACCCATACCCGAATCAAATCATGGAACGTCAAACATGGGCTGCTGCAAAAAGAGGAGGCAGGTTGCTCCAGATGTCCAGATCCTGGCTTGCTTGATGTGTTCTGGCTAAGTCTGCATCATTCACAAACCGGAAATAAGACATACCCCATAATCAGGGACCTTCATCATGGGCAGGACCGTTATACCCCCAGCTAAGCTCGTTGATTTGTGTTACCCAGATGTTCAAGTGGATCTTCTTCGAAGCTGGCAAATCCAAATACCCCACTCAAGATCGGCGGTTGACGCGTCGAGACCGAATCTTCTAGTCAGTAGTCTCCGGTCAGTTTGCCTAACTTTCAGAATTTGCAGCCCATTCACCAGGAGCCATCTGAGCTAAATCAATCGGCCCCAGCTGAATCTAATTTATGGTCCTGCCCCAGTGCAAGCCTGGTACATGCATCTTGCATACTTAATATATATATATATATATATATGTATGTAGTTCATCGTCTCATGATGGTGACCATTCACCTAGGTGAGATTTCTTCCGCGGTTCAAATCAAAGGGCAGAACCTGTGGCAATATGCTGGAAAAGTAGGGACTCACTCAGTCTTGAGCAAAAGGCCAATCGGCAAAGGTGTATTGTGCAGGGTGTCTTGTCGCTGGACCCTCCTTGAAAGCTGTTGCATGTGGAAAAGGGCACAGTCGGAAAAGGGCACAGTCGGAAAAGGGCACCTATGTAATCGACCGATTTATGTCCACCCACGATCTAGTAGCCCTGCTCGCCACTTGGGACTAAGTGCAACCATCAAGAATCAAAGAGCACTTTGAACCGGACCTGAAAAAGGGCACTGCCCCGTGATTCCTTGCAAGAACATCCCAACCCGACCCCCAAGACTTGTTCATTATGTTTCACCGTGGGTTTTCACCTGAGCACCCTTGGCAATGAGACTGGCACTGCATTTCCCCTCCCCCCCAGCAATCGACAGTGTCGCCAGGCTCAGATCGTCTGCGGGGTTTTGGAGCGGCAGGGCTAGTTCCGGAAGGGTCGGAGGGGTCTCTGTTGGGGATACTGTGAATGGACAAAATAAAAGGCTAACCCACTTCCCACCTGGTGCGAAGCGTACTTTTGCCCATCCAAAGCATCACCTCGGCATATTTGGTTTCTGTTTTGAGAGTACGCTCTTCGGGCATGGTTTGAGAGGGAAACCGACAAAAAGGAAACCCGTTGCCCTTTTAGGGGTTCCTCAATTTGGAGACACACCCACATCTTCCTCTTCACCAACAACAAGTTTCCTTGCTTTTAATCCAGGCCGGCAGGTGATCCTGCGGGATCTGGATACACTCTGTACCGCCTACTTGGGCGCTGGATTTTTTCCAAGCTCGTAGGTTGGTGGCAACCTATAGGTGGTAGCCCATCTGTGGGGCCCCCGAAGTGGGCCTGACCTTCTGATTTGGGGGCTATACCCCGAATGGCGATCACCACTTACTCACTTTGGCCGAAACCTCCGAGCCGTGATGTGCAAAATTTCGCCGCCACATCTGCCAGATTCGGCAGAGGGTCGAAACCCAAATCGTGTCCCCAGTGAACATCCGATTCAATCCAACCACGAAAATAGGTAACCTAAAATGGGTGGTGAATTCACCTATCCCCGAATGGGATCCCATTGGTTTTGACCCATGGCCATCTCCCCAGCACCACCAGCCCAGCCCAGTGCCAAGGGGCCATCGCCGATGGCTTCCAAGCCCTTGCCCGCCAGGCGTGCAGCGCGCGCCCAGCCTCTACGTCGGCTGTGGGAGACAACTGGGACCCCTCAACGATCAAGAGGGTGGTGTCCCTTTGGCTGGCCTCAGAGGGGGTTCTTGCTGGTTGTTTTGCCGTACCGCAAAGGGGGGGGGGTGTTCATTTGGGCTTTGCCTTGACCGCAACAGCAGCATGGGTCAATGACGACAACACCGGATAGTGTGCCTTCAGAAAACATGCTCGGTGCTCTCAAAGCGAGCTCCACAACCTTCCTGGGACTTCCCCGAAGGGCCTGGAAATTGCAAGTCAATATTCAGATACCATGAGTAGCACAAACCAACATGAGAAAACAAAAAGGGAAGAGGTCGATTCGCTTCGGACAAGTCAGTCCCTACGTTGCGTGCCAAAGTACTAGTTCTCAATCAGAAAGTAGTTGCCTCTCGCAACTCCTACCAATCCCGCCAGCCGATTTCCTCTGGTTCCATTAATGGATGTTGTCTTTAAAGTTCGAGGGCCTCGCCATCACGAGACATGTTGGGAGACCAACTTGGCCGTACTCATCAAAGCTAAGTGGGCGACTGAAACAGAGTAAAGCCTGCAAACAGAACAGTTGTGATCACTATCACCTCCAACAAGGGAATTGCGTCCAAATGACAAACACTATTCGATCGTCCAATAGGAGTGCTGAGACCCTCAAACAATGGGTCTGACCCTTGTTGTTTGGGGGTGCACCCACATAGTGGATCAGGATGTTCAAAAACGGCTTCGCTCCCTTGTAACGGGGTCCAACTGGGATTTGAATCTCGCGATTCCTGCCAAGCCATCCGAGAGAAAGGCCGTGAGAGCCAAGCCCGGCAATCCGCTGAAGAACACAACTGCTCTCCATTGTGTGTGTGTGTGTGGATGTTTATCGGAACCAATACACATGTCCGATCTGTTGGCTCGCGTGGCAAATATCAACACATGCCTACCTTGCAACCATTTCCCAAAGCTCACAGTTGACGCGGTCCACCAACGTTAGTGGTCTTCGACCCCGTGTTGACCCTTGAAACCGGGCTCAAAAGTTGTTCCACAAAAACTGCCACCTTTGGAGGTCAAAAAGGGAAATGGAGGAAAATGGTCAAAAAGGGAAATAGGCAAAAAGGTCAAAAAGGTTGGGACAAAGCTTGGGCTTTGACGCGTTTTTGATTAAACCTCTAAATGGAAGCTCGGTCCCGAATCGCCAAGCCACGAAGCACGTCCTGCTGGTACACCGACGCACGGGAAGGGTCTTGCCTCAATCCGAAAACGGCCCAGGCGTCGCTGGAGTCTCCTTCCGACTCTTCAAAAATGGAGGTGACCCAAAAGGACGGGGGTCAGACGGCCTGATGTTTGAAGGCTCATGCAGACTCCGCATAAACAGCAAGAGTACAAGCAACCTGGCACAAAAAATGTGCATCTGATAGAAGCTAGTTCATATCGCTATAAACTTCGCAAAGATAGATAGTATCAATTCCACCCAAGCCTGTTTTGATGAGTTTTAAGTATCAATATATACATATTGCTTTAGTTACTTCCAGCATAATTGTGTGCAGTTCAACAGAATCATGTTTTGTAACAATCGTATCCAAAACACATTCCTACTGGCAACTTTCCAATGATTTGCACCAAGGCTCGCTTGACGTTTTCAGGAAAGCTGAGATCTGAAGATCTCTCGCCTTGCCTTTAGGTTGTCGTGGAAGGAAATCAGCGAACTCCGGACATGGAAATCTACCGTTGGTGCACGCTTCGCCAACGCAACCCGCATCTTCAGGAAGGCCGGAAGTCGAGCCCTAAAAGGAACGCATCTACATGAGGATAGGTTCAAAATGCGGGATTCCACCAAAATGAGTAGCACCCAGTATGGCCAACATTCTGCTCTATATCAACGTTACGGGAACCGCCAAAATGTGAGGATGCCCCCTTGAGTTCCCACAATGCACATCCAGCGCTTTGCTCCACAAGCAAAACCAGACCCACAAAATCTCAGCCGAGGTACTGGAGTATCACGCTCTCTTCAGGCAGCCGATCTCCTGAAATCGCCGAGCCGCTTGGAAAATAAACTCGGAGTGGACCCGCATCACTTGGTCGTTCAATTTCCAGTACCCAGAAAAAAGGAAGTGGAGCATATACCCTTGCAGTCTCTATAGTGGCTGTGTATCAAACCAACCCCCGACGGGTAGTGTTTGGGGGTAGTGAAAATCATCTTGGACACTTACAGCTGGGTCAAAGTAAATGCCACAACCTCCCCCAATTCGGCTGTATCATCCCTGATGCTTCCAGGCATAATTAAAGGGAATTGTGTCATCTACGATACCCTTCGGTAGATCCGTTCGATCATCATGTTCGAGCGCAAAGACGCCAAATGTTTCCCGATGTGGACCCAAATGAAACGTGGCTCAACACCTGCGAAGCGCCCAGCAATGAAATATGTTGCCCGTTGTGCCTGCAGGGCTGAAGCGCCATGAACACCCCCAAGGAAACCTGATTCAGCGCCACCGCAATGAATGCCGTATACGGGGGGCAATCATTGGCACAGCTTACCACAATCGCCATAGTCTACTTACCCGAAGGAGAGGCTTTGATGTGCGTTTGCAGGCCCCTTGGCAAAGAAACCTCATGCCAGTACCCAAAACAATGACCAAACCACGTCAGTACTTGGCCGCATGGCTAAAAAAATCCGAAAGGAAGTCCTGAGCCATGGTAGGTGCCGGAACGCTTGACTCATCTTGACACGTGGCTGCCTTAAACTCCAATCCCCACTAACTTCAGGGGACCCACTCAACGGCGTGAGACTGATCGACCCCTCCCAACCCCCAACCCACCGTCGGCCTTCCATTCCAGGAGCGCTATCGCCCACTGTGTCCTCGCCGGTTTTGGTCCCAAAAGACTTCTCAGGATGGTTCCCGCCGGTTCTATGGTGGAGCCCGGGCTGGCCAAACTGGGCACAAAGAGATACGAAAAAAAGAGAGAGCGAGAGGGAAAGAAAGAGGGAAGGAAAAACCGAAAGCAAAAGAGAAAGTAAAGAACAAAAGAAGGCCGCTTTCCTTCTTTGGGATGGCTTCCCTTTAAAGTCAACCATCCAAGAATATCACAGAAGACCTCCATGGTGACCCCACGAGGATAATAGTTTTGCTCTTGCCCAAGATGTACCATAAGGTTGATGCCATAAACCCTGAAATTGACCACGCTTCTGGCACGGCGCAAAAGTGGAGCCTGACCTTCTTTTCTTCTTTGTGTTTATCTAGTTGCATTAGTTGTCAACCTTGACTCTCCACCATTGCACCATGGGGTTGAGGCTTGGTGTCGAATGTCTCACTTCTGCGCCAGTACATCATCCCCATTCATTTGATCCATCCCTTGAAATCTGGAATGTGAGGGGGCAACGCTGATATATAGATGGCAAAGCACGGACCTCACGTTGGTAAGTCTAAATGCAATCAAGGGATTGATCCAGCAGCCATAAGCTTGAAGCTCAGTGGCCACTGCGTTTCCTGCGCTTCCTGAATGACGCGACTCAATGCATCCCAAAGGCTCTGCCTTTGGTCCATTTGGGAACCCGGGGTCAGGATCTGTGGGCCCAAATTTGCAGTTGGCATCAAAGACTCAAATCCCCGCCGAAATGATGTCCATCAAAGGTCCCCATAAAGCGAAAGAAACACGTAACCAAATGGATGTGGAGCATTTGGGTGGTTGATACAAGATCCGTCCCAAGACAGCGCTCAGGACTTGACTTCCGGCTTTATCAGTCATTCACCGAATATGGGTTCGCCTATACATGTGCCCCCCACAATCAGTGGTTTCCCTTTGGTTTCCCTAAACAACCCTAAGACGGTACCCTGAAAAAAAGAGACAAACCACATGATACAAGACGACTCTTCTTGGAATTCTGGTGCAAATTCGTCCAACATATTCCAAAGGTTCGCCACTTTGCACAAGGAATTGATGCACTTGACTAGCATGCGCCTTTGGGGTGAGCTTGGGGTCTCTTTCTCCCTCTCTCTTTTTTCTCCTCTCGCTCTCTCGATCTCTCGTTCTCTCTCTATTTTAATCAGGGATCCTTACATTATACACCTGAGCATTGCCTTGCCAATGGTGGTTTCCCTTTTATTCTGATGGAAAAAGCCATGTTTCAAATGGGCAAAATGTATCTTTCAAGGAGCCCTGTTAATGTATTCTCCATTTCTCTCTGCTTTTACCTTTCCTCACTCAGTGCTCCTGGTCACCCTTGGAGGCCAATTCTTGCAAGAGCTCTTCCTCAATGTCCTCCACCTGCGGCTCGGTTTGGCCGAATCAAATGGGTATGGGTCAAAATAAACCACCAGGGGACCGCAGGTTTTGGTCCATGTTTCCACGTACTAGGGTTCCATTTGTGGTACCTATTTTTGAGCCACAGCCAAATCTAGTTCACGATCTTTGGTGTGCGCGCTCAAGGAAGGAAACCTAAGGCCTATGTGTGTTACCTTTCAATGGGGTTACAATGGATCCAACGCGAATGGAATTGGCTACCTAAGACACCGTTGCTCGAAGGATGCTTCGAACCTTTCTGGGGACGGGCCCTGATAGATCTGCTTGAGACCTTTGTCCTAAAGTGACCGGGCACCGTTGTTCTTATGCCCATGGCAGAAAGCAAACCAACACAGGAATGAAGGGCGCATGAATGCAGGGAATGCAGGGCATAGGAATGCAATGGAGGTAGCGGATGCGGGAGCTGGTCGGAAAGGGGATATAGATATAGAGTGGATTAAATACTTACGGACATGATTAGCTTCTGATCATGACTTCAGTTGGGTTTAAAAGCAACCCACAACTCCTCATTTCTGTTCATTTAGCCCCTTCTATTCGGGAGTCGTAAGGCATCATGTTGAATGCGTGGTATGCAGAGAATGCAACGCGTACCGGCGCAGCAAGCAAGATTTTGTCCATCCACAGTATGTCTGTGCAGCATGTGGGGCCCGGGGCTTGCACAAGGAAGGAGATGCAGAGACGGGAAGAATATCTGTAGATGAACAAGACGCGGGGAGACTGGGGATGCAGTAGGTGAAGCTGGGGAAGCAGGCATGAGGCATGGTGCAGGCTCTATTTGAGGGATGGCCTTTGATCGTGGTTTGCCACAAAGAATGTGTCGCTTCCTCGGTCTACGAGCATCAAGTCATTCTTCCCCGTCTTGTAGAGCGCAAAGTCTACGCCGATCAAGAACCCGCCTAGCTACACCAACTTGAACGTCTTCATCTAGCAGGCCGAACATGTCAGACATGTTGTCTTCAACCCCGCCCCGTAGGAAACCTTCTGCAGACCGGACTCATAGACAACCGAAACATGTGAGATTGGCACTGCCAAGCCGTCTGCGGGACGAATCTATTTTTGTGCATGGCCACGGAAATCAACACTGAGTGCTCAAAAGTGTTGAAGTTCGATTTCTATGGTGGATGCAACCTGCGTGCGTGTACATGTGGATGTGCACTATATATATATGATTATGTATATATTGCTCGAAATCGAACTTGCTCTAAAGTTTAAAAGGTAGCAGCATGCTTCTAACCACCCATCAAGCATCTAAGAGGGGCGACTCCAGATCTCGTTCCCGTGCTCGTGCGACTTGCTCGGCACCTACCACGCAGCCCAGGAACATGAAGACATCGGCCAGGCCGAGAAGGAAAGGCCCCAAAGCAATGCTCAATGGAACTGTCTTCGGGCTCTGGGACTCCTGCAGCATCTGCTGAGCAAAGCCCAGCCGAATCAGGAGGTGATACCATTGTGCTAGAATGGCAATGGAGCCGATCAAATAGAGAAAGCCCCAAATCACGTAGCCAAGAACACCACAGCAACCGGAGCGTTTCACCAAGCAATGCCATGGTAAATGATGCAGCAGGACGATCAAAGCCGAGGAAATAAACGCTGCGATGATAAAGGTCAACGCGTCACCAACATTGTTCTGGCCCAAGGAGTTCACTGCCATTGCCATGAAGAAGGAAAGGCCAATAAACAAGCGGACAAACGTCTGCAAGATGTTCCAGTCTTGATAGAGCTGTTTTGGGTTGGCCGGATGGAAATCGACCATGCTGGGCACCAACTTCGGCGCCCGCAACAGCGCGATGTACTCCTGGATGCTGCTCCCATAGCTGTCCATGGCTCACTTTGGCAAGGGGATGGTTGGTTCAAAGATGTTCAAAGTCTGCCCCAAAAAGCCTCATCTGCCCCAAACGGTGTCAAAGCCAGTAGCTTCAAAGGAACCCCTGTTTCTCTCTTGGACAGCCGCCAGAATGAGTCACACTGACCCAAATGGATCGGTATGCCTGTGAGAGGCGAGTGACGAGCAGCCCAGGCAGACCAAAGTCACCCCACCGACTTGAAGCCCGCATGGGGCCTGTGACCATTTCGCTGAGCAACAAAATCATTCTCCCCAAAAAGGCCTTGGAACACTTAGTACCCCCCCGTGTTTTGTGAGGACTTGGAGTTGTCACACCCAACAACAAGAGTTGAGCAATGACAATATCAGTCGGATTGCAGAAAAGGGGTCGACCATGCATTCCTACCCAAATGAAGGTAAGTCAAACAAAGCAACAAAAGGCGGGGAAACCCATCGCTCGACTGCAAGGTGAATGATCCGTCTCGTTTGATCTTTAAACTTTGCACCATGTGACACACATTCTGCCCAAAAAACATCGTCCTGAACAATACCATGTCACCACCAAGACAAACAGATTTTAGAAAGAGAGCCAAGTTCAACAGGATGTCTGACTAATCTGTGCTGCCGCTTGCACATGCACCGAGCTGTCCGAAGCTACTGCCCTAGTTTTTTTGGGTTTCGATTGCAGTTCTGCCAGCTTGAAATTGAAATCCCTCGTTTCGGTTTGTTCCACCCGAACCTCCGAGAAGGACAGACCGACAGACCCGTGCATGCAGAACCACGCATCTGACGCGCCAAAGATCCCGCCGGCCTGCTTAAAGATGAACTCGGCCACCTCCAGCGCTTGATGGTTGCGCCCCAAACCGTTTGGAGACATTCGAACCAACCATGCCCACTCCAGGGAGTGCCTAGGGGATGAATTCCGACCTTAAATCCCCAAACCACCAGTAGATTTGCATGTTCGATGTTGGCAAGCAATCTAGGTTGGAGGAAGTAGACGCAATCAAGTTCAAACATGTGATGTCGCGGCACAACAGGGACCAATACAAGTCGCACAGCCACCTGGCAAGCTTTGTAATCCCAAAAACGGGGGCTAGCTGTTCAGCTCATGCTGGCAAAGTGAAACTGCGAAACAACCGGTATTCCGGCCTGTGGCTGAACCATTTTCCAGGGACAAGCCAACCCTAAGCTGAACCACACTCATTTTGGCACATCTGGCCGGGGAAAGATGTCCGACCTGAGGTCCATGCCGACATACTGCGGTTTGGGATGATGGCGAAGGCCGTGCTGCCTCGGAAGGGAGGACTACTCCCGCTGCGAGCAACCAGTGCTGGGCGAAAAGAACCCTCTTTGGGGTTGACCGAATCCACCAAACAAACCGAGCAACCGGGGTCTTTTTTCAAGCGCCGGCTTTGGACAAGGGTCTTGACTTGTGGTAGCGCATGAATTTGGGATGGATTTCCACTGGACTGCGGGATCCAGTTGCTGCGTAGCAAGTTGTCGGGATGATTCGCTGCTGACGATGGACCCCCACCGAAAACACAAAACGAAGCCCAGTCTTGATGTGTCAAATCTTCCCACTCAGGCACGGTGCGCCTTCCTAGCGGCATGGGGCAATCAAGTGACCCCGCTACCTTTCAATTCTTTCAAGTCGGCAAAATCCGTGGTGTCAAGTTCACAAAAAGACCAGTTTGGCTTGTTCACCCATGGGGCCAAGTCAATGGTGTCAAACCTGGAGGTCCGGAGATGAGTCAATCAAGCGTTCCTGACATCCGCACTATTGGATGATACATAAAGCGTTGTATAGTATATCTTAATTTTGTATATTGTCAACAAAATGCCTTGCTACTTCAATTAAACCAAGGATCAGCCTGTGTAAGCATGGATATCGTCACACTCCAAACGGCTCAACGTGTTGTTTGTGTCCAGCCCAACAAGCACGCGTCATGCTCGAACGACCAAGAATTGCCATCTCCACAGTTTGCAAGTGGAGCTCGTTGTCCAGCCATGGAACAGGGAATTGCTCTGCAGATTCAGGAATCGAAAACGCACGCAAATATGAGGGTTTCCGTAAAACACCGAGAAAAAAACGGCGATCCCTCCGCTTCTGCGCCGCTTCCGCGGCGCAAAGCGTACCTTCTGCAGCATCCATAGCTGCGAATGCTCTTCATCTGCTCTGGTGCGATTGGTTATTCAGCAGATCCAGACCAAGGCATCTCCTTAGAAGATCTCGAGAACATTCCGGGACAGCCTCTTGGTTCCAGTTTGCGGGCTATGCCAGCGATATGGGCATCGTTTGGGCATCTTTCGGGGCATCGTTCAAACCAAACCGTTTTCTTGTCCAGGCATGGTCAGTTTGATTTGTACAGCAGCTAATGAGTTGGGTATCGGTTGGGCATCGGCTTGGGTATCGGTTTGGGCCCTGCAAATGTCTGATTCCGCAATCTTGGTTTGCGACAACAGCTTGGACCTGATGTGTGACTTGATGGCTTCTGGGGGTATCGTTTTTTCCTCTGTGTCGGTTTACAATGGTTTGGGCCTGCAAAGCAAGTTAAGGGACGTCCCCTTACATAACGAAAAGGCGCGGGGTTTTTATTTCAGTACGCGTCGGGCACTTTCCGAGCTCCGGCTCGAGAATCGCAAATTTTAGTACAAATGTAGTACGCGAAGGCCACTTGCTCAGCTCCAGCTCGTTGATCTTGAACTTTTCATACACAGATTCATGTAGTACGCGAGGTGCACTTTCCGAGATCCAGCTTGAGAATCGTAACTTTTCGGTACAAGCGTGTAACATGTTTAAAGGCAAGCCAATATAATAGTTTGAAAGAACATAACAGGTCGCAGCTTCCGCGGAGCTTCCGCGGAGCTTCCGCGGCCTGCGTTTCACTTCCTTACCAACATAACCACCGCCGCTAGCCACTAAAAAACCAATACAGCTATTTACGGAAAGCCTCATATAGAGAAATCTCCTCTTTTGGGCCCTCTTTTGGGGGTTCCTTCCGTTTGGGGAGTGGATCTGTGGAGTCATTCAATGCATCTGGGTTGCAGTTCTGTTTCACCTTCTGGTCCACCATATCCTCAGAGTGAGTGGTCGTGTGGCGCATACTCAGCACTTTGCGTGTGCCCCCGACGCATGAAATCAGTTGGATCCGAGCGGCAGCTACTCGATTCCCAGTGCATTTCAGATGGAGGATGCAAATCTCGTAGGGTACGTAGGGGGATGGTTTTGGACGGCAAGTTGTGCATCCCAGTCGTGATAGCAGGTAAGTCCCTTCCTGATGCGACCCTCTTTCTGACTGGCCTACTTGGCGGTGGCCCTCTGCAAGCTTTTTCCCATGAGTTCAAGGACTGTTGTTGGCGTTCAAGCCTGGAGCGCTAGCCAGATTGGCAGAGTTTACTGTTAAACAGCTTGCGCAATACTAAAATGAAGGGGCCGCTTGGTCAGCAAAAAAACATGACACACCAAGCCAGGGCAAAACGAAAAAATATGCCTTTTTCAAAGGCCTTCAAGTTCCATCTAGATGGCGCCTGAAAAACATGCTTGCAACGCATGCTACCAAGTCGGTCTTCGGCGCGTCATTATCGGAGCTCTGCCAAAAAGCCCAATCCCCAGGTCAACACAATGTCAGTGGATCCCAGTTGCCACTACAGCAGGTAACCAACAATTGTCCTCGTGGTTTTTAAAGGGTGCCAAGCCCTTGGCTGCCCACTATACTAGGCTAGTGGAAAACAAAGGGACCTCAAAAAAAAGCAGACAAAAACAGAAAGGGGAGCTAATTCTGACAATTATACAAGCAAATACTTCTAGCTCTGTGCCAGCAGAGGACTCATTGTCTGGCCGCTGAAACTGTCGCCCTTGGATGGTCGCCGGCCAGCTGCAGCATCTTTAGACGGCCGCATGCGAAAGGTCGTGGGAAAACGAAAACCAGTGAATAAGTGTATGAAACGACAGCAATTTGACGGAATTCCTCTTGGGGCACAAAACTGAATGCTCAAACACGCACTCAACCCAACAACATCTGTGGGCTAAAGTCCCTGACATATCCATAAGTTTTGCAACTGCCATCACTCCGTTGCCTCCTGGACAGGCCTGGAGCAGGTCATGGGGACCGGTGAATCCAAACCAATCGGGGGCAACACGTTGAGTCGACCCAGGCCATGTGGACGCATCCGCTTGCGATGGATTGGCTTGATCCTGGGAAAACACAGCAACATCCCTTATCCGTGGTAAGGGACCACAACAAATCAACACAGGCTTTGGGATTGTTTTCGAACAGCCAGGATAGAACCCATTGACCAATGTTCCAAAAAAGTAGCAACAACCCCATGGCTTGCAAGAATAGCAATGGTTTCAAAGGGGTGATTGAATCACCTCAGAAGGAAAACATAAGGATACCCTCCCTCCCAACATGGAAGCCATCAGGCAAGCATCCCTTGCAAGAGGAAAGTAATTTCCACAAAGGGTCTTGGGAGTTTCCATGATAGCCTGAAAAAATATTATAGGACAAAATCCTGCACGTGGTTATCAACCCATATTCAAATCGGGCTTCCTGCATCCCAACTCGTGCGAAGCGGATTTCTTCCACCTTCCACCCACCGTATGGCTGGCATCACCTCTGAGCTGCCGGGCTCTCATGACCATGTTGCTGCACAGTAGCTTCAACGTCACCCGCGGCGGCTCATCTTGGAGCCTGCCATGCGGCCCGTCGAATGATCTTGAAAAAAAAGAAAACAGTTCCAATCATTGGTTTGCCTTGAAGTAACAAAGGGCCTAAATGACTTGAGGTTGTAAGAAAGCCCCATGCCCTTTTGATTGACCGGAACTGAAAGCCAGAAACAAACAATAGGCGGAAGTTGGTGGAAAGCAACAACCTTAATGAAACCACACACCCAAAACAACAAAAAGACTTTGTGCATGCTGGCACTCAAACAAGTGCCATGATGTTCCTTCCATCCACAGTCCCATGCGAAGGCATTAGGAGCTCTTCTTGGATTCGACT